AAGTATGCGGCATATATGCCGTACCCCTCAGTCATGTTTTTTGCACGTTCCCTTCCCTCTAGAAATGCTAAATATCAATCTCCTCCCGCAGCGCGTGAGAGCTACGATGTGGATAACCCGGACCAGCTCACATGAGGCGCCCTCGGGCCGTGTCCATAACGGGACTGGGCGTCTCAGACTTGCGGCTCGACGTCGCACGTGGTGGCGCGCCCGAGTCGAGTCCAAGCTGCGCCTCCACACGTTGTCTAGCTATACTCACCACTCCGAGACGACGAACAACATAAACGGTGGCTACGAACATGTCGCGGAGTACATCCCCATTGCCCAGCCCAACTTGCCCTCGCCAAGCTCACCGCAGGCGCGAGACGAGCGAGTGCACCGCACTCACGCGCCCCAGGGCCTGGAATTGCTTTGGGGGCCGGAAGGCCATGGGGCACGCAAGAACGAAGGGAAACACAAGAACGCAATGGACGAGGATGGGGAGACAACAATGTTCGTTCAGCTGCGCATGCGCACAGCATACTACATTGAGCAGGACCAAGGCAGCAAGACCGGTGTGAAGCAGACCCAGAAGGCTCCATCGACGGCGACTGCGAGGAGAAGAAGGCTGTCAAAGTGCCGAAGGAGGAACTTGTGCGCGGGTGCAGGTATGGCGCGACGTTCCTGCCCGTCGCTGATAGGGGCTACCCGTGACTGCACACGCACAAGGGCATCTACGGTTGCTGTTTTCAGAGAAGAAGAACTTGTGGCGCGAGCTCAAGATGGGCAAGGTGTACTACGTCTGGGCGAGCCTGTGAACTCAATGCAGCAGGTTGTCCTGTCAAGCGTTGGGCAGGCGATGTACGACAAGAAATTCTGATGCGAGCTCTGTTTCTGATACAAACTCTTTGTTCGCCCTCTGATACTGTACAGGGCATAGGACAAGTAGTACAATTGATCTATATATGAAATGACTACAAGCGTGCATGGCGGCGTGCACGCCGGCGCTCCTTTGACCGAAACAACGCCTCCTTCAAATATTCCCGTCTAGCCTTCGCAGCGTTCAAAGACCGCGCCCCATGGTGCACAGGGACCTCACCGCCAGATGTTTCACTCTCGGATGATGAAGACAGACCTTCACGAATGAATGGATCGTCATCTACATCCTCATCATCAGCACGTTCCTCTGCCTCGCACTCCATAGCGACACTGTGTGCAACGATGCACGCAAGGATCCAATAAGTTGCGAACTTGTGGGTGCGCTCATCTTTGATGTGGATGCGCAGGCCCTTGAGAGACTGAAATCGACCTTTGAGATATCCAATGGCATGTTCGGAGCGAATGCGGATCATTGAGACGTGGTTGTTGAATACTTCGTTATCGGGGAGATCCCGGTCTGGCTTCTTGTATGGAGCAATAAGCCATAGTTCAATCTGCACCAGGTCTGAGTAGTGTTCCCCAGTCAGATGAGAGCCTCAGCGACGTACCGGATATGCCGAGTCTCCCCAGACAAATTCAGTGCCTGTCAAGATCTCCTCATGATCCTGTGCTAGTCGGGTGGCTTCCCAGGCGGTCGAGTCATGTGTGCTACCAGTGAAGCCGTAGCTGACATCGATGATGCGTAGGTTGGGCATTGAAACAATCTGTAACATTCTGAGTACCTCTTGTATCGATATAAGAGTGTAGAAAAATACCTGCACATTCAGAGAGTAACGACACTTCCGATCGAAGTAGCTCTCCCCAAACCAATGCGGCCTGGTAAACAGCGGAACAAGTGTCCCGTCTACCATACACCAGCCATGTCGCCATGCATGGCAGGAATGTTCCTCCACCCATGCCTTTGCATCCTCCTTCTCCTCTGGTGTTGGGAGTCTGATATACTTCTCGAGGAGCGAGCGACGGGTGAGAGCAGTGATGACTCTCCGTGTCACCAA